TCCACATTGGCCCGACTTGCCCGTGTCGCTCGTTTCACAGGCAAAAATTTGTTAAACGTCAATGAAAAGTCAAATGCCCGGACCACTTGCCTCCAAGATTCACAAGACAGCAATTATCTCGGCTCCTTTCTCATGACCGTTTCTATCGTTCTGCGATGATGTGAACTAAGATTTTGTCATCTGATCAGCAGCGCTCATGCATGTCAAGAAGGATGTCAAGGTGGCATGCCCTACGTATATCTCAGAGAAGATGCTGTTGGCGAAAAATTATTCTAAGAATAATGTGATGTGTCTTGAAGAAGCCATTTGGCAGTCAGTTGTTTCCTAACCAACTTTCATTTATGGAAACTAATCGACTCTTTATACAATTCTGCAGGCCAGCCCCTTTTTGAATATCCGCGAACAGTACGAAGCGTGATAACAACTCGTTAATCCGTGACTAGTTCACTTCACAGAGCGACAAAAATCTTAACGACTGCACCAACCACCAATAAATCACCCTCGTTACATTGAAAACAGTCCCTTAAATTGCAGTACGCGAACAATCTCGAAAAACTCGTGCAGGAGCGAACTGGAATGTTAGAAGAAGCTAACATCAGAGCCGATAAGCTACTATGTCAGCTACTACCGGCGTAAGTTATTTCAGTCTTTAATCTGACTAACCAGACTGCAGATATGATTTCTGGTACCTTGTGTGTTATCTGCAACTTTATACAATCTTTCTTGCGTCAGGTGTGTTGCTAGTGAGCTCAAGCTGGGAAAATCTGTCCCACCAAAGTCGTATTCATCAGCAACTATACTTTTCAGGTGAGATTTTCAGGCATTGTGCACTTTCGATTCGACAGTTCGATTCAAAAGTTTCATCCTATTCAGTCATTTCCGAATTCTCGCATCTCTTCAAATACTCAAATATTTCAGTGATATTGTCGGCTTTACCGAATTATGCAAAACTGCCTCTCCATTAGAGGTTGTAAATGTTCTCAATGGCGTCTTTGATGGCTTCGATCAGTTTATTGCAAGAAGGGACGCATATAAGGTCTGATTTCATCTATTATTGCAAATATACATTCGTCATATGGAAAGTGTTTTGTTTGCCTCTGCGCCGTATATGTACGTATTATATGTATCTTTTGGTGCGTTAGTCATTTGAAGCGTTACCTGGGGAAGCCTACATCCGCTGAGCGCAGCGCATTTCAAAACTTGTGTTTGGTTCCAGAGAAGCTGACGCTCCAGAAAAAACCATAGCCTGCGGGAGCTGCGAAACACTTTTCGAACATTAATCGTAGCGAGCTTAGGGCCCTAGCCCGCCTTAGGGTTAGTGGTATACGGTGCTTAGAACATAACCTCCTTCAGCAGGATAGGCAGAAAGTAATGATCGAGATGAGTTGGGTCTGAGTGTTTAAAACACTAGAGCATGCTTTTAACTGCAAGATAGCTCACCAAGAACAAGCCACCGGGTTAAGATTCGGAAAAATATAGGGTCCTTCGTCGTGCCTGATAAAAGTCGAGCCGTTGCTCGGTACAAAAATCTTGGACCATCTTCGCTTTGTAAGCTAGAGCACAATCGTGCTGGAAGCGCCAGTAGGCACCTCCGAAGTGGGAATAGGCGCACGGCTAAAGCAATTCCTCCAGGATATTCTTGTAAACCTCTATGTTGATTTTCACACCAGCTTCAACGAAAATAAGTGGGATGTTTCCCCGTAGAGGTGACTCCTCCCCAACAAGAATGCGTTAATCTAAGGTTTAGGTCACCTTGTTGACACGATACTAAGGAGTGTGGCGTAGACTTCGCCCTCTATCTGACTGCGAGATCAACGTGAGCTTCCTGTTTTTCCCAACGCTCTCTCTAGCGTCGCACCAATGCAATGCAAACGTGACATCGTGGCCACTTGTAGTCTGGTCGTTTCGGCCACTTTACTGCCATTCCTGGAGAAAGGGAAGGTATTCTGATGGGTAGGTAGTAGTTCAAAAGATCGGTGGACATGAAGTGTACGATAAAACTTTACATTGCTAGCAAAAAAATTCAAAATTCTTCTCTAACTTTCCCTGTGGCGGTTATTGATAGTCTTAGACAGACAAGTGTCACTGATTGCCATGATTTTCATTTCACAAGCTAATCACTCTGTGGAAGCTTCTGGTGTAGTATACTAAAGAAAGGTAAGCAAGCTTATATTATAATATTTATATTCTTATGATCGCTGCTTATTACTTTACTTATTACTTATTGCTTGCCTATTCCTTCCTATACCCTTCACGACTCAGGTGGAGACGATCGGAGACGCATACATGGTCGTTTCTGGCGTGCCAGAAGAGAATGGGCATCGACACATAAACGAAATAGCTGGCATAGCTATAGACGTTCACAAGGTGCTGATTGTGTTCTTTGAAGATTGCGTTTTGTAGCCAAGATTTTCACGAGAAGAGAAAATATTTTCAGTACCTCACAGACTTCTGCGTTCCACACAAACCTGATCAAAGGGTAGTTTGTCGTCTTGGATTCCACACAGGTATATTCCGTCATTATAATCCTCACGAAGTCAGAAGTTGGTTGAGACGTTCCACTGTAGAATGTCATGTGGAAAGCACTTTTGTTTCAGGGCCAGTCGCAGCAGCTGTATGTCGACCTAATGAACTCCACTCGCTATTCGTCTTCTTCGGAGACACGTACTTTTTGAAGGCAGCGAGTTTGCGATAATTCTGATATATGAAATGGTAGTAGAGGGGCGCCAAGTTAAAGTTTAGTGCATCCCTGAAAAAAATAACAAGAAAACGGTCGAAACCCGAAAAGGCGATCTTCTTCACATTCACTGACATGGGGTTGCACGGTCTGATATAAAGATTGTTCGGGTAAAGTTAGAGACTGGCATCATGACAGTCGTGAACGATAGGCACTTGCTATTATAATTAGATGGCTGGTGTAAGTGCTCCTGGGAAGAAAAATGAACCACGGCGGTTGCGGTCTCATTTCAAATGCACAGTCATTATCAATCCTTTTAAGGGTCGACGGTGGGCGTGTCTGAGAACCGGAAATCCACTTGAAATTACTTTCTGCACCTTAAGGCGCGTTTTCTGCTCCAGAGCTACCATCCTTTAAGGAAACTCGTAACTCTTTTACTACCAATCAGTGATCACGACTTTGGTCTTTGAAGACAAGCCCCGGGGCAAATGGGGTGCTTAAGAGCGTTCAATAATGAAGCAACATGTGCGGAGTGACCTGAGAAAAAAAGAAAGTGAAAGAAGTGTCGGATAACGGCCCGACCAATGCCCCCTCTTTTTTCAACCACTACCTTATACCTAGAGATGGAAAGTACTGCTCGTATGAGTTTCTCGAATGTTTAGCTCCAATTGCTTCAGTGCTAATGACATTGAGATACAGAGCCGCATTGCCAATGCTGCCACAGCTGCGATGCGAGCGGAAGGCGGGGATTGCGAACGAAGGTGTGGATTGCGGCGTCGAGCGAACTTCTAACGCCTTTGTCGCTCTCTCTCGGAGCACGACATCAACAATCCATCCACCTATCTGGCATGGTTAGGGATGATAAAGGCAAACGTGCCTGATCTCAGACATTGTCTTCACTTCTCCGCACATTATACGAAGTTATACGAGCAAGGATAAATGGAGAGACCACAATCATGATTTTTTCAATAGTGGCCGATCTCGCATTATTTAATTCATAGCTTGCCCATACCCGCGCTTGAATAAAAAACTGAACAAATTAGCAGTAAAGTTGGTTGCTTGTTTCAGGTCAGGTGATATATGTCGTCTCGCATGGAGAGCAACAGTGGACCCGGAAAGACGCAAATTAGTGAAGCCGCCAATAAACTTCTACTGCAACATTATCCAGAATATCAAACTGAAGAAAGGGGACAAATAGCAGTAAAGGTGGGTTGACGGCCTATTTCTATCTCTACATATTTGTTAGAAGAAAAATTGTCAGTCTTGGAAAGTTCTTGCGTATTACGCACCAACTTTTAATATTTTACTCTTGTGGTAATCTTATGCGATTTGCTGCTCCATATATTTTTTCACATAGCATTTTCACTCCACCTAATGATGCTGTCAATTTTTATTCAAAATATAACAATTGTATATATGTATCTATATCTATATTATATATCTATCTATATCTATCTACTGTATGTATCTAAAATATAATGATTAGCAGCTATTATAGCTGAGTGGTTATTCTGCTACTGGACAGGGATCAACTGCTATTCTGAGAGCCGCAGTCGATCCCTGTCCAGGCTCAGCCATGCCCTACAGAACTTGTAGCGATAGTGCCAGTGTCAAGCTCAGGTCGGCAGGCTGACTGATAAAGATCACCGTCACACAACACATGTCTAAAGTTGAAAATGTATTCCCTCGGAAGTGGCCAAAGTTCTGTGTTCAATATGCGAAGGCTAAAAAGAAATGAGCGACCTCGGTAAGAGAAGCTCGTCAGAATTGGTACCCTAATTGAAGGGTCACTGACAGGGAAGAGGTTACCGAGGTGATGATGCAAGGAAGTGATTGAATGGTATAGCTTTGTTGAACTGCACACGAGGTTGATATTGACAGTTTATTGGCTTACGTTTCGGCGAGTTCGCCTTCTTCGGAGCCTAAAAGGATGGAAGCCGAGTTTATGAGTATCCGACCAAAAATCTCCACACACCTACTAGATCTTCGACACCACCTAATCGTCACGTAATCACAAGGGAGAAGAAACACCGTACCTTTACCAGATCCACTGGATCAGCCAACGACAAGCACAGTACAGTAAGACTTCGGGTGGACCGTATTCAGGGTGCCGGTTGGAAAGCCAGGCTTATATAGGGGGCTAACTCCCGCGTTATTGACAGGCATTCTTCCCTCCGGTTCATTTTTGGATTCCTGACATGGATCCAAAATGCCTCGAGGGTTTTGCGCGCGGAAATTTGGGTCTCAAACGCCACCCAAATTTCCGCGCGCAAAACCCTCGAGGCATTTTGGATCCATGTCAGGAATCCAAAAATGAACCGGAGGGAAGAATGCCTGTCAATACGCGGGAGTTAGCCCCCTATATAAGCCTGGCTTTCCAACCGGCACCCTGAATACGGTCCACCCGAAGTCTTACTGTACTGTGCTTGTCGTTGGCTGGATCCAGTGGATCTGGTAAAGGTACGGTGTTTCTCTCACCTTGTGATTACGTGATGATTAGGTGGTGTCGAAGATCTAGTAGGTGTGTGGAGATTTTTGGTCGGATACTCATGAACTCGACTTCCATCCTTTTAGGCTCCGAAGAAGGCGAACTCGCCGAAACGTAAGCCAATAAACTGTCAATATCAACCTCGTGTGCAGTTCAACAAAGCTATACCATCCAATCACTAACATGCCGAGGTTCATCGAGAGTCGAGCATGGGCGCTTAAGAAGACGTCATCCAATGCTTCAGGAGACGCGACCGAAGAAAGGAGCTAAGGCCAGGGAGAGTTCGGGAGGGTTTCAAGCTTCACTGCAACGGGAAAGGCTCCATGGAACGAGACAGAGATGTCAGAGCGTCATGCATCATGCAAACTCATGGTCATGCAGACTGCTCCAGTCACTTAAGGTGGCGAGAATAACTCCTCCCGGCAGCAGCGCACCTGCGAACCGCAACACCGCAGCATCACCTGCGTACTCAGGTTGCGAATATCAAGGATGCGTTTGGTCCAGGATTCTCGAGGTATGCAGTGTGATGGTGGTTGAAAAAACTGTTTATGGTGGTGACGAAAGCCTCGAAGGTTGTGGTGCTTCGGATATTAATGACCTGACAAAGGAATTACGAATTTGAATCGAACAACACGAAAACTAAGGACTGAATGTTTCTCTAACAACTTATCGACCACCTATTTCCCCCCCCCCCCCCCCCCCCCCCCCCCCCCCCCCCCCCCCCCCCCCCCCCCCCCCCCCCCCCCCCCCCCCCCCCCCCCCCCCCCCCCCCCCCCCCCCCCCCCCCCCCCCCCCACACAGGGAAGTCACAGCCTTCAAAGAGCGACAGGTAGATATCTAAAGACATCTCCATGCTTTCGTGCGCGCCATCTCAGACCGAGTGACAGTATAAATACCAGTTTTGCTTCGCCCGCTATCGCGCGCATCACACGGCAGGCTTTAGCGAAATTGGAGGACCCATGGAATATCAGCATGAGATACTCCATCAACCATCTCACTATTGACTGTGTTAGACCCTCCACAGTTTCACTGAAGCTCATCGAAGAATACGCGTGATAACGTCAGAGCTGTGGTATATTGATCACAACTGTAAACATCCAGCATTTTTCTTGAATTAAGATAATTTAGCGGTGAATAGGATTGCTGTCAGTCTCAAAATCAAAACGAAATATGCCTATTTACATAAGTGAGGAGCTAATGCTTATCATTCATTTACATTCATCATTATTTAGAACCACGAAAGGATTAGCGGTTTAATGAGTTTGGGTTTTCTTAATAGTCAGAAATGAAACTTATCATTTGCTGAAGACTTGTTTTTTAAATTTATGCAGTCGAATTCTATTAAGTAAGCTGGATATATATCGAAATAATGTGCACGTACCTTTGTTTGTACTACTACGACTTACTACAATTTGTAAGTAGGAACGCTCTAGTGTCAACGCTGCGTAACGGAACTAACGACTTCAGCGTTCTGGCGCGCCTTATCGGCCCTTATCAATCGTTATCAGTTTCTGGCACCCACCAACAATGTCCCCGTCCCACCCCACATAACACTTGTAAGTATGGTTGCTCTGGTGTCAACGCGAGCCAGGCAACGGAATCGACGACTTCAGCGTTCTGGCGCGCCTTATCGGCCCTTATCAATCGTTATCAGTTTCTGGCACCCACCAACAATGTCCCCGTCCCACCCCACATAACACTTGTAAGTATGGTTGCTCTGGTGTCAACGCGAGCCAGGCAACGGAATCGACGACTTCAGCGTTCTGGCGCGCCTTATCGGCCCTTATCAATCGTTATCAGTTTCTGGCACCCACCAACAATGTCCCCGTCCCACCCCACATAACACTTGTAAGTATGGTTGCTCTGGTGTCAACGCGAGCCAGGCAACGGAATCGACGACTTCAGCGTTCTGGCGCGCCTTATCGGCCCTTATCAATCGTTATCAGTTTCTGGCACCCACCAACAATGTCCCCGTCCCACCCCACATAACACTTGTAAGTATGGTTGCTCTGGTGTCAACGCGAGCCAGGCAACGGAATCGACGACTTCAGCGTTCTGGCGCGCCTTATCGGCCCTTATCAATCGTTATCAGTTTCTGGCACCCACCAACAATGTCCCCGTCCCACCAG